CATTCCTGCAGCACAGTATAATGCTAGAGGTGGCCAGCTCTCTGGAAAGTGATCGTTACGACATTAGCAGTGTGAGAGCCCTGCGGGGGAAACTGTAAGCCAGTTTCTAGCTCCCTTTTATCATTAAATAATCTTTAAAAGCTAAGCTATCTGCTTCATTTTAAGTGGCTGAACAGTAAGCATTTTCTCCAAAACAATACTAAAAGCAGGGATAACTTCGTTTTAGAGTCAACCATATCGGCCTTCCACTCAGTAATGATACGAACGTCATTACCTTTGCTGTAAGATGGTTATTTCTGTCCACTTGTAATTATGAACCGCATAGATACACATATACATGCATACATACAAATGCTGCCTGCTTCATTCATGGTGAGAAGTGTTTCTTATCTTCTAAACCCTTACAATTAGATACTCACAAAAATTGTAACTCCTTTCCCTTTATGAAGTAATAGCTATGCACACCCAGTGGGGAATTTTCGATGGTACTGGACTGTTAAATTGTCATGGAAATAGGCCCTATTGGGATTCATCCCTGAATTCATTCTAGTATCTCCCTTCCAACTCCACCAGGCAAACTGCTGAAACGTCACTCTCTTTATTCCCCATATTGCCCACTTTCCTCACTAATGTGGTGTTTCCCTTACTCCCACAGTAAAATATGAGTGACAACAGAAATGAAGAGCCATGTAGCTGTGGTTATGGCATTACTTACTCAGCTGAGAGCTGCTGCTGCACTGCAGCAGCTTCAGCAGCAGCACTTCAACAGCAGCTGCAGCTGCTGCTGCTGCTGAAGCCACCCAGGCATGGCTGTTCCCATGTCTTGTGGCTGGGAGTGCATGCATACTTGGAAGTGCTGTTGGGAGCAAAAATCCTCCAGCCCCCTTGGCATCTCTGGTAAACCCACCTCTGATATCAGGCAGGGATTCCTCACCATTTACAGTGGGGTCATGTTTACCATTGAGAGCCAGCTCAGGGGCTGGAAGGAGTGTGTGAGTGTGTATGCGTACATGTGCGCTTATGCACATGTGAGTGTGTTTGTCAGGGCAACACTGCTCATGGGTTAAATATCCCTGCTAAGAGAGAGGTTTCATTAGTGCTTGTATGGCCCCATGCTGTCCCCTGAGGGAGCCAGACAGCTTCCAGGGCCTGGAATAGTAGCCCTGCATGGCACTGCTTTTATTGTATAAGCATACCAGTATGTATAGGGACAGGTCAGGTGTATCTGACATGGTGTTGCACTGTATGATAGAGCTATGTCTTGTGCCATGATGTGCCAAAACATATACAGATGCCTGCTATGATGTAACTTGAAAACTGTTGGCTAGAGCTACTCTGAGAAGGGATGCAGTGTGAGTACAAGGAAGATGGTGGCAAACACACCGTTTCTTCCACTGGGTTCTTCCAAATCAGACTGAAAAGCAAGGGAAATAGGTACTGAATCCATGAATAAACTGGTCGTTTCCCGCTGCAACCCTGTCTTTCAAGGGAGTGATAAATCACCTGGTAGCTTACCCTAAGTTAAAGGTGGTTATGGACATCCTATTCCAATCAGCCACAAGCCACAAGGAATCTTGCCCTCAGGCTGGATTAACTCTTGGTGGCAAGAGAACCCACAAGGTCAGCCTCACCCTCATTTTCATCCCATTACCTCTTCCTCAAATTCAGTGCTTTCTTTACCAGCATCTGTTATGGACTTTCTCGCCTCTTCAAACCGACTTTTCCTCATTTCAGCTTTAGCAAGATTGTAAAGTATTAGGATTACTAAACATTGGACCAGATTCCCAATTCTTTAACATCTATTCATCCACACTGTTTCTCAAAAGAGCAGAGAACTACTATGGATTTACAATAACATGACCAGATTAGTGTCTTCCTAGCACCTCTACAGCAGTATTTTAAACATACTTGTTTTCTACAGAAATGCAGTGTGGTATTCAAATAAGGCCATACCTCAAAGTTATAAGTTTGCCACTACAGTTAATTCATCTTGCACCATCCTCTGTCCTCATTACATTTTTATTATAAGAATTAATACATTTTGCCATTTGCTATTCTGGTTACAATCATGAAGAAGTCGTGAGAATGAATACATTTTGTACCACTTTGTCCTCGTTATAATTTTAAGATGTTCTCTAGAATGGATTAATTCAATGCCACTTTTCACTCTTTATCCTGAGAAGGAAAATTAAAACAGCTACGAAACTCCAGCAGGCACTGTTCTCTAGCTATTTTGTTATCAGTCTAGAGATTTTATCAAGAAGAAAAATAATAATAAAATATTTAATTCTGTTTGAGAGAGAATGCAGAGGGAATGAGAAAATGGTGCAGATGACCCAGTCCTTGCTACTGTCTCAATGTCATAAACTCATGCCCTGTTCAGATGCTGTAATTATAAAGATACGATTTTCATTAATTCACTATTTCCCAAGCAGAGTGAAAAAAATATTTAAAAATTAACAGTAGCACTATTTAGAGTTCTGCCATCCAGCTTCCCCAGAAATGTTTGTCATTTCCTGTTCATCATGCAAACCTGAAATAAAAATAAAGCCAAAGAAGTAGAATATACTCAAAGAAGAGCACATCATATTAGTAACTGAGGTATACAAAATCTATCATAGATGACCAGGAAGATAATGCCAATGCATTTATCCTAGGATTTGATCATATTCCCCTTAAATCAGAAATAAACTTTCTATTGATTGCTACGGGTGTTGGATCAAACCTGTGCTCATCATGTGGAAACCAAGCTCAAAGCAGCTTGAAGGATTTTCCTGCACTGGGTGAGTGATCTCTGCCAGGCACTGATTGCAGTCATCTCTTTCCTGAGTACCGCACTCTTTTAAGTAGCACTGCCTCAGATCCTGATGAAGACTTGCTCTTTTTTTGGAGCAGCGCATTGAGATGGCTGACGTTTAACAGAAGAATGGAGTTTAAAGGATTCCCAATGAATGAAACATGGTCTGCAGATATCCTAATGGGTAGAGAAATGAGAGCCTTCAGGGAAAACTCATATAATCATCATTAAAAAGCTGAGCTAGGATGTTGTACTTCTGCCATACTCTCCCAGTAGCACTCCCAGTAAGATATACTAGATAAGATACTAAATTAAGAAAAATTCCTTCTCCATAGGTGAGACAAACAGAAACTGAAAACATGGTAAAATGGGGCCTGACGTACCTTTCTCAATAGCATAGAACAGGAATAATTCAGCTAAAGTTATTTGAGGTGCATGACTGTGAAACCAATAATTCCCCCTTAATATGACACAAGAAGGGAAAGATGGATTACATCACATTATACATTAGCGGTCACTGCTATGTTGTTAGTGAGCATCTAGTGGTCTTCCTATGTCTGCAGAGCTCTTCTTCATGCCCAACTCTCTTATTCTTTCTTAGATTGGGACTATATCCTCACAGCACATACATATCCAGAGCACACATTATTGCATGCTAAAACTAAACCTTCATCTTCCTACTTTACCCTGGGAGGGGAAGGGGGAATGACGAATGGTTGCCAGGTTGCTTCTAAGACACAAATGGACAAGAAATCCAAGTTTTGATGCTTCAGACCTTGGAAATGAGCTTTTCCCCTCAAAACTCCAATTCAGATATGGATCATCTCAAAAGTGAAGGGAATTTGTTGCTGCCTACAGGTGTTTTTTTTTGATCTGGTGTACTAAATAACTGTGTGATCCTGACTCCCCCTGGACATACACTTATATCACAGTTGACACCCTTGGAGGCAGCCTATTACTGAACTAAAAATGAACTTTTTCTCACTTACTCATCCAAGCAGCCGCTTTGCATCGAGTGAGGGACTTGTGTTAGGGACAGACCGGAGAAGCGTCACCTGCGGCCGCTGCTCTTCATCTCCCCTGCGGCTGGCTCAAGGCCTTTGCAGGGCCTGACACTACATAAACTCTAAATTCACTTAACATAATAATGAAAGGAACGTCCCTTTGCATGCAGACAGCAGCAAATTCTTTATTTTTAACCTTTGGATCTATTAAAAAGAGTTATAAGGTTTCTAATGAGCGGCATTTACCATTTTAAATTATTTCAGCCTGAAATTGCACCTGGTTTCCTGCTACACAGTTTGAAAGATTTATAGGCCCAGATTCTCAGGACTCTCCGAAGAAAAGTGGGGGCGGGGAGCAAAGGAGGGAAGCTGCCAGGGAAAAAATAACTTTGCCTTTGTCAGGGCACTGCGGGCACCCCTGGCCCTCACTGTCCCTGTCCCTCCCGGGGCCTCCCTCCACCCGGCCCCTGCCCAGCCGCCCTGCCCTGCCCCACCAGCAGCCCCCACCGACACCAGCCTTCAGCCGTGTCTGAGGTGCCAGCCCCCGTAGCACCCTGACAGTCCTCTGGCATTTCAGGATGTGTCTGCATCACCCTGCACCAACCGTGCGGTGGAGCAGTTTGGGGTACGCTCCACTCACACTGGCCATCAAACATCCCAGCCCACTGGTGATGAGGGGACGTGGCCCTGGGGGTCCTGGCCAGGAGGCTTCCGGGCAGCCCCTTCGCCCCGGGATTTGACACACCATCTGCGCTAGGCCTAGAGCGAAGCGCGGGCCAAAGGCTTGGCTCAACAGGGCTTAGTCATTGCCAAAGGGTGGGAAATGTTTTTTAATGAGCAAAAGTGCTCCATTTGATGTTGCATGTTTGCTCTGATGGAAATCTTAATTTTTCTTAATTGTTTCCTATAGGTATTCACAGAAGGCATTCTGGGTCAGCACGGTGTTTGCAAAGAGTAGATGCGGCATGAAAATACAAGGGATGCGATTGGAAGTGATCCTGTTCTTCAAGCATAAGTAACACTCCAGCACCAGCTTGGTACTGCACAGTGTCCCCTCTCATCTGGCCTCGCACAGCCTGGGACGTCTTCCAGCCCATATATGAGCCTGTGCAATGTTTATCTCCCCTGGGCCCACATCCTCACTGCTTGGTCTTGCTGCATGCTTTCCTCACTGTATCTTATTCAGCTGGTTCTTGATTGTGGTTTGTTTTTTTAATAAGTATTGATAATTAAAAATATATTTTAGATTTTGATGAAGGCTGCACTGATAGGAGATCTGAGAAAATCAGATGTACCTCCAAACCCCTCATGAAGCTAATAAGGAGATACTATGACAGGGCTAAAGCTATGACACAAAGCAAGAAACCTGTGGTAGTTTACTCAGTTACTTTTAAAATGTAATACAGCTTTGATCACCTGTCTATCATGTAGATTTGTAGCCAGACAGGAAAGCGAAGCTCTTGCTACACAAGCTATTAATTTGTTTATATGCCATACTGGGTTTGACTTGACACTGGCATTATTTTTCTATTAATACAGGTAATTAAGATTGCCAAAGGAGAAGAAGTGCTTATTCACATCTAGGCTAGACTGTTGTCTGCCTTAAGACCAACTTTTGATTGATTTTTCAAACCAAAAAGATTATTCAAACAGAAAAGTGGGTGTATTTTATAGATACATGGAAAAAGAAACTTCAGTGCATATTTCTCATTTGTATATGACATACATTTCACATTACAATTACCTACATCTTCAACAAATCTAGAATCTCTTCATTTCTTATCCCACTCTGAAATTCTTGCCTATGATGAATCCTGGGAAATCAATTGGTTTAACTACAGAAGGCTGGTATGCTCACAATTAAATACTCTCTCAAGTCTCTCTGTATTCTGTCTGTATGTATTTTAATGAAGTTTTTGTTAGTGACAGAAGCCTTCTCTGTTTCAGCTTAAACTTTAGCAGACCCTTTGGGGATCTATAAAAAGAAACGTTCCTGGAACATTAAAGCAGAATTTTCACAGACTTCTTCTATCCCCTGTGCATCAAATCTACTTCCATCCGTCACACCGCATTAAATCATGCAAATACAGTCACGCAATATGATTGGCAAACTGGATCAATCATGCTCCTAATCATTGAAAGGTGATAGAGTAGCCCAAGATATCTGAAAAGATGCCAGGTGCCTGAAAGAAACTGATTTTAAAGTGAGTCGTTTTTCATGCCTTTGAGAAGACCATCTTCCCCTCACAGAGGGCTGCCTGGCATATCCTCTGCTCGAATTTTGTTGCAGGGCCTGTAATTAGCAACTAATAAAATCCCTTCCTCCCTTCTCCCCCCACCCTATCCCTAGCCTCCCTGTAGGCCAGCAGCAGGTGCTCCTATTTTCAGATGTATGTGAAATATCTGCCAAATCATTTGGCACATTTCAACTAGAAATGTGCCAAATTACCTGTCATAGCTAAACTGCCTTTTTAAAAGAAAGATAAATGCTCTCGCTGCTCAATTTGTGTGGAACGAGAGTGCCCTCCCGTGGACCTGGGCTGCTGGTGAGGCAGTCTCCCCACACCCCTGTCCCCTGGAGCCACTGGCCACCCTGAGGTGCCCCTTGTGGGCGAAGGTGCCCACTGGCACCCACTTATCCTTGCCACTATCCCATCAGCTCTGACAAGCTGGAGGGGCCACAAAATGTCCCATCAACCACAAGCCTGTTGTGACCCAAGGCCATGGCAGCTGGGTGCTCACCTGGGCAGACATATCTTCCAGAGCAATAGGCGACACAATCCTCCACTCTGTCCTCACCCCCAGTTGTAGTGTCTGTTCCTGGGTCTGACTGAATTCTTCCACCCACAGGATGAAATGAAATACCAAAGATCTGGGGGAAGGAGGTTTAACTTTCTGCATGTAGGATAGCTTCCAGGAGACTGGGCCCGAAACAGAAGACACTCAGCTGCAAGGCTTGGTACAGAGTCAAACTGTGGTAAAGGAACAACATTTTCTTTAGGAACAGCTTTAGAACTGGATGAAATTATTTACAAAAGTAGTCACTTTGGCATACAGCTCCTCCCAGCAGAGGGGAACGTGACAAGTGAGAGCAGGTGACAGGCCCTCCCTGGCTCTGAAGGTCTCGTGGCATGCAGGGCAAGAATGGTTTAAAACACTCCAGATCCACAGTAAAGACAGTGAGAAGTGGGACTGTTTTGGTGGAACTGGGCTGAGATGTTCCTCTGTGAACAGTGCTCTGTACTTTTGATGCTAGCAAAATCTTTTGATATGAGATCAGAACTTCTTGGTTTCACTTATGGTTCCAGTCAAATAAGTGAATTAGCCTTTACTGGAGATGCCAGTGAGATGCCACTGGGAGACCTGGCTTTGCCTTTCAGGCCTGTGTAGCATGAAGTATCAGCAAAGAGAAGAGGCGAGGCCACATCACAGCATCGCTATAAGGTCAGTAGCAACACAATCACACTGGGCACTTGTCTGCTCCACACTACCACAGCTCGGAAAGAAAACCATAATGGAAGGAAAACTGATGAAATCTCAGGACCAGGAAAATGCCTAATCTCGGCAGAACGCATTTTGGAATGGAACAAACTTTTTGAAGGACAGAGGAAGGGGGAGGTATTTTATTGTTAATAACAGTTGATGACGACAGATGAAATTCTCTTTCATCTGCTGTTTGAGGCCTCATTCTTGGATTTTTTCCTAATTTTTTTTTCCTTTTATCATGATCTCAGGCTCTCTCTTTGGAGATTTTAATTATCTTACCATGCGCTCCTCCGGAATGAATAAATTATTATTTTATTTATAGCCGTCTTTATAAAAGATACTTCAAAACCTAAACTATCAGAAACTTAACTGCTTTCAGCCTAACTGCAGCCAGTAACACTTGACACTGCTTTTTTCCCTTGCTATCATCTTCTCTCCCTCCTACTAACACACAGACCCTCGGATGACCAGACTGTAGGTGTAATAGTAAGGCAGGACTGATCCCAAGCCTGTGTCTCTGAAAGAGCCATCACACCACGTCGCAAAGCTTTGCCTTTTCAAACCCATCTGAGTAAAGGAGCAGCCCCCAGGGTAATCTTGTAATTATCCACAGCTCAGCTATTGCAAAGCAGAGTGCAGCCTGAGCCCACTTATCAACTTTTCACTTATCTGGGATGATTATTTTAAATACAGTAAAGTCTCTAATAAAAAAGGAAATCATTTAATCCAGCCCTGTGACTGTACCGAGTAGGATTCTGGTTTGCATAGGCTCTTTTACGTCAGTCATCAGCAAAGTCACTGAGCACCTTCTGGTCATGCATTAAGCAATGTGACTAGCATCTGTCACATGTTTGTTTTCTCCTCTTTTACCCAGGGGAGAAGCATCTCTGTGAGTTTGTGCCACTGGCACCTTCCTGAGCCATGTAGCAGTTTTTCAGCCTGATGCCTTCTTATATCTTTTTTCTTCATAAGCGACTGTTAACAGCCTCAGAATGGGGCTAACTTTAAAATACCTACCATACAAAGCTAACATCTACTATCATTATCATCACTGTACAGCTTACCTTTCCACGGCACCTGTCAAACCAAAGCAAGCCAATGAAATAGCACTGAAATGCTACCTCCTTGGGGTAGAAGAGTGGCTGATACTGCAGCACATACTACATAACTAGAGGAGAAATGTCATTTTGGACAAGGACATAAGAACGAATTACACTAGGAAAAACATCTAGCATGCACACAGGAAAGATCTCAGAGTGTAGAGAGGTGTCCTCCCAAAGATGCCTTCACAGCGTGCAGCTTGGAGCTTATTTGCTTCAGAGACATAATGTTCTGGGCTGCTCTTATAAAGAAACTTCAATTCTCCAGACTGGTATAAAGCTATAGCGGTCTCAGACCGCTCACTCCACTCTCCAGACAGGCCGCTTACCTGCCCATACTTGAACTGCTGTGAAAGCTCTGGGGAACCCACCACCACTATAAGGTGTTCCTTCTCCCTAGCTATAGCCAAGGATGAGAGAAGGCTCTTCTGATAACCCTCATGCTGCAGAGGCAGCAGCGTCAGAGGCCTAGGCCTAGGCTCAGAGGAAGGTTTTTCAAAAGAAAATGACAGTGGTATTTTCGATTTCTTAAATAACTTCATTACAAATCCAGGATTGTGAGGAGGGCTTTCTTTCTTTCTTTCACATTATTTTAAGCAGAAGCTGAGTTCTGTTGCAAACCTGATTATTTGGAGTGAAAATATGACCCTGTCAAAGTTTACAGGGAGTTCAACACTGACTTCAGCAGTTAGGATTTCGCTATCCAAACGTAGACCCTGGGAAAACCATAGGGAAGTGCTTGTGTTACCTAGGTCCGGTGATCACATTCAGAAGTAATTCGGACTGTTAGGAACCAAACTCCCACCACGAGTTAGCTGGACACAGACCCAGTAGCGCTTAAAAGTACTCTCACATAGGAATTTGATGCCTAAATACTTTTTGGGTCTTTGGCTCTTCGCTCTCTCTTTTTTTTTTTTTTGTTGGCTATAACATTGATAAGTTCAAAGGCAGAGAGCAAGGCCTGGGTGTAGGGGGGGGTGTCTGTGCCTGTGTGTATCTCTGTGTGTGTGTGCATGTGTGTGTGTGTGTGTGCATGTGTGGTGCTCACAGGCTGCAGGGGCTCTGCAATCACTTTTAGCAGATACATCTACAGACATGATTCAACACTTGGCAGCCCATAAAACTACCTCTCTCTCTCACTTGCTCTCTCTCTCTCTGTACTGAAATACTCTGTCTTTCCAGTCTTATGACATTTACCATACTGTCTAAATGCATCCTATGACTAAAGTGATAATAATATTTTCCCTCTGCGCCTACCTTGCCTTCAGGAAGAAGCTGTGGAGAGGCTGAGACTGGCTCTGTAAGAATGAAGGTGTAGCCATGGGATAACTTGCACAAGTTGCTGGAGCTCTGAATCACACAAGCTTCATAGTTATTTTTCTTGGCTGAGATGTGCAATGGTGCAACTGTTTTGACTTTATACAAGAAGGAAGGAGCAGAAGCGGGAAGGATTCTGCTTTGGGAGAGACCCTAACTAGAATTCACACCATCAATGAGGGTTGTAGGTCACTCACGGCCTGAATTCATTCACTTTGAAAGCATAACCCTAGGCTCATGGAGTGCCTTGAGACATATGGGCCCGTGACAAAATGGCTGCCCATGGTCCAAACTGTGGTTGGATAGCTCTGAAGAATGGCACATTTCCTCCCCAATTTTTTTTTTCCTCTAGGGAGAGACTGTCTAAGTCAAAAAGCCTTGTAGTGCCACCTGCAGTAGGCAGTCATTCAGCTATTTGATTTTCTGCACGGTATGCCACTTTTTTGCAGCAGTACAATAACAATTTCCACTGCAAATTATTAAATAATAATAGGTGTGACATAGTCCCCAGGCACTTGAGCAGGTGCAGCATAAACAAGGCCCTATTCCTCCCTGTGCCTGAAGGATATCTACTGCATATAGTGTTCTGGCAGGAAAAAATGAGCAACAATAAAAGGAAGGCCCTTGTTATGTGTGAGGCAAGTCAGTGATTTTGTCACTAAAACAAGAATGGTGCTTGAATAGTTCTGTTTTTAACCTTCAATTAATGAAAAAGGGGAGGAAAAGGTACAACAGGATTGTAGCAAAGAAGCAGAAGATGAATAAATGTACTTCAGCTAAACAAATGTAACCACTTCATATGCTCCCTCTTCACTTCCATCTTCTTCTTCCTCTTCCCTCTCTCCTCTCAGCCTGAAAGCAAGACTGGAAAGGCAGGGAGGGAGGCAGACCAGCCCTCCTCCTGTCTGTGATTTGTACAAATAAGAGCAAACAATGAGATGTCTGGTTGGAGGTTTTTCCACACCACTAGAGAACAGTTCACAATGGTTTGCCTCATGTAAGAGCTGGCATCAATAGTTAACTAAGCTGCTCTCTGTGGGTGAAGGCACGGGGCTGGCATTAGAAGGAAACAAGAACTGCTTTTTCACTTCTCTTACACTG